AAAAGACGTCGGTCTTGTGAGGCATCCGACGGGACAACATTCGTTAACGGCGCTAGTATTTGTGCACAAATGTATGGGTAATCTCTCTGAACGGACTCGAGGCGGCAGGAAGAAGTCGTGCGCTGAAAACTACTGATCGGGCAATCGCGTGCAGGATCGGTCGATGGGAAACTTGAAGTGGTCAGTGCACGAACGCATGAGATTTTCACTGCTCACTTTTCAATTTGCTGCAAAATGAACGCTTCGACTCGCGTTGGCCAGGCCATCATTGGCGCCTCCACGCCCTCTGCGAACGAGAATGCTGCTGCTGGCAACAATGCCAACATCCACGGCCCCAACTCTGGTGTCAACGCCGCGGGCATGACCATCAGCGGCAACGGCAACCACGTCGGCAACATCACACATGGCGCGCCGGTGCACCACGGCGACGTCAAGAACGTCATTGGCGTCCAGATCAACGGTGACTACGCTACCAACCATGGCGCTGTCAACATGAGCGGATTTTAGATCCCGTCTCGGCGATTGCGTAGTAAGGACAACCCTTTATGAATATATGACTTTTCTTGTACACTTGCGCGTTATTTCGATGTCCGATACGAAACACCGCTTTACAGTGGAGCGAACTCGACAGCAAAACACTGACGAGCCCTTCGTCAGCCACACAAGCAGCGTCAAGACCGGAAGGACACGACAGAATCATCGGCGTTCGCATTGGAAATCAAAACGTGGGGTTACAAAATATCAAACAAATATCGGCAGAACTGGAAACTAGGGTCGGGTAGGACTAGGGTTTCGCAGCGGCCGCTCTGGGTGTCGAGAGATCGCACTAGATATGAAGCGCAAAAGGTATACTATCCGTGTGCATGGTGTAAACAGTTCCTTGGGTCGATATATGTATCCTTGCAAGTTTTGAAATTTGTAAAGACGTGCCCTTTTTCACGATATCGGATTCGGCAAATATCGCGTTAGAGAAGAATTCCGTACGTCTCGGGCCCGGTGCAGCGAGGGTCGTTGGGAAAGGCCAGTCCCGACGGGTTGTTGTTGCCAATGCCATGGCCCGTGCACGAGCAGCGCCCCGCACCGCACGCGTTCGACTTGAACGACTGGAGCTGCTCTTCCCTACTCGTCCACTGCTGGTTTGGGGTCGGACACCTGTCCCGATCAAACAAAGTATCAGATTATCAACTCAGAATGGCAGTGTACCCAAACGGCGACTGCTGCCGACGCTCCCAGGATACGCTTTGGGCGCACAAAGTCTTTTGCGCTGGCGTCAGCGAGCACGAGTTGCACGTATGACACACGCGGTTGGCTTCGGTAGAGCATGGCACTGCCTCGAACTCGTCCGCAGAGCAGAGAGCGCAGGCACGGCAGACGCGGTCCGTACTCGGCGAGCACTTGGTCGACGCAAACGTTTCGCGCTGGCACTGCGTACACCCTACGTACAGCGGGCTACTTTCGGGGTCGCGGAAGCGAGCGTACGCTGGCAAACAGTGTCGTGGGTCGGCGAGCACGTCATTTCGGCAAAGTGGTCGGCCGCGCAGACCGTACACGGTAAGCACACTCGGCTCTGCGAGTCGGAGCAGCGCGCCGAGAGGTACGAGGAGGTCGGGCACGGCGAACAGTCCGCGGTGGCTGATGCACTCAGAAAATACGGAGGCAACAGCGAGTGCCCCATGATATCGGCGATTTGATTGGTCGCGACGAGAATCGTCGTTGCTGGCGACCGGCCAATGACGCCGGTGGCATCGATCCGCGCCTTGTCCATTGGCGCGACAAAGATGGTGATGAGCGTGCCGTCACTCGGCACCGGAGGTAACGCCGCCAGACCACCCACCGACCGCGTGCCTACGTCCTCCAACGTCAATCGAAGCAAGTGTCGAGTATGCGACCTGCAACGACATAGCTAGCGCTCGAGAGCAAGGCGCAGGCAGTGCGTGCGAGGCTGTCGCAAAGCTGCAGTTGTGATGGCACCACGGAGGAGGGGTTGACGACCTTGGAGAACCGGAGCTGGAGGTACTGGCCATCATAGACGAATCGCAGCAGCGATGGAGCCAGCGTGTCGCCGACAAACGCGGTTGCCTAGGACGCCACAAAGGTTTAGGGTTGTTTGTACCAAATATATATTACCGGAAAGGGTGTCTGAGCCGGCAGTGGGGGAACCACACACCCGTTTATCGACGTGGAGGCGCAGTTGAAGGTTGGGTATTCCACGAATCCTGTGGGATACGCGATGTTTGTTGTCGAAATAGATGCTGCGAGGCCAGCTCTTTGAAGCGCGTTGACATCGCTGGGAGCCAACTGGACAAACACCTACGACACCTTCCAGTACATGTACTACGTACAAGCAAGAGCAATACAAGTGTCGGGTCAGGACGGGGGACCACGGTCGAGGACGCGCTCAGAGTGTACAGTCCTGTAGAGGCTGCAACGCTCAGAGACGCCACGTTGGCCGTGGTCGCCAGCACAGGTCTCGAGTACTGTAGCGTTAACGAGCGGCCCGTCATCTCCAATTGCGCGCCGACCAGCGTCGGGACTATCGTGTGGTTCGACACGCGTGTCGTAGCCTTTACTAATACCTTGCGCCGTCGCCTGCAGATACACCTAGCCCTATGTGAGACGACGATGGTACATGGAACCGCAAGGTACCGCGTACTGCGCCGAAGGTCCGAGCACCACCGTCTGCGGGTCGGACAAAACGATCGACAGCGTGCGCGGCGGCGACGCGGTGCCGCTGAAGTGCGTGGAAGGAGGTGACAGAATCGTCAGCGACACGGTGACGTCGCGCGCGTCAGTGTCCTGCCACGAGATTCGCTGTCCGACGCTGACAAAGTCGACGTCAGGCTGCGCCGTCTGGCCCACGGTCTGAACGTAGACAGAGGCGGCACCGACACTCCCTCTTGACCGACGCACCTAGTGGTTGCTTGACTTGAGCTCTTTCCTGCGAGATGGATAACGTACGGTGAACGTATATGTGCCGGCCTGTATCACAACCCATGGTGCGGTGGGGCCAATCCCAGACTGGTACACTGGGATTTGCGCCTGGAGCAGCTGGTCACTCGCCATTGGCATACCGCTCAGCGCCGTTTGGAGAGCGGGTACGGTGACCACGTTGACTTCCCCACCTATGCCACACTGTTGATACCGACAAGACTGTGGATGTACGTTGCAGACCCAAAGGCGGTGCAAATGGAAGCGACAGGACCGAAATACTGGTGCTGCTAGCGACAGGTGATAGCGATGCGCCGCCGGTGGGGTTAGTCAAGGTCACAACCACTCGTTTTTGCGTGTTTGGGGAGATTTGCGTTTGAACGACAAAGCTCTGGCTGGCGCCGTCGCCGTCTTGCCAGCTCAAAGTTCCTAGCTCACCATAAATGCTCTCGACCTACACGTTGCACACCAACCTCGCTGCGGCACAAAGTCCGTGGTCGCAATCGTGTTGGTACTCGGGTCGGGCGTCGCTTCGAACTGCACCGAGACGGCGCCAACTGCTCCGTTGCGTCGCTCGACGTACACCCGAACGGCGCCGCCTTCGTCGACAGAGTACGTCGTCGCCGCGCAAACCGAAAAGCAAGGCGCGCCCAGCTGAAAGACGCCAGCCGGCACAGCTACGTCCGCCGTGGTAGACACGTTTGTATCTCTCTAGAGTACCTTGGTTGGTGCCCAGCACTGTCAACAGAATGGTCGATGGCGATGCGAGCAATGCGCCGCCGCTCGGACGCAGCAGCTGCAGAGACAACTGCTTTGCACTGTGGTAAATTGCCGCGTTGAAGAAGCTCAAAGTGATCGTTTTGGGGGTCGCATCGCCGTCGGCCCAGAAGAGCACGTTGCCACCGGGAAATGTCGGTAAGGAAAAATCAGTATCGGGAATCGGCACTTGTGCGGGGTCGAGGTTGGGGACGGGCGCAATGGCATACTCGACTTGGAGACTGCCTGTACTACCGCCAAGGCGCTCTACGGAAAGAGAGACAGGATACGGCGTCGTTGGTGCGAGTGTTGTCGGCACGGAAATGTTGATGGCCGGCGCTGCAAACGCGAGGTCGCCTAGGTCCACTAGACGGATATATAAAGTATAGTACGGTACATGTCGGTTAAGACGTACGGTTTATGGATTGGATGGTCACAGTCGCGGTCGCCATGCTTGGGTAAATCTGCGTCGTGCCATCGCCGGGGCTCATGTTAATGGAGAAAGAAACGTCCCGCAACAGAACGCGCGGGAGGAACGCGATCGGGACTTGAACCGGCGCCCAGCTGCCGGCTGCCCACGCGACCGAGAGGTTGACGATCGGAGCGAAATCGACACCCGCGACGGCCGAGCCATTTTGCGAGTTGAGCAAAACGGACGCGGGCCCGTCTGCGCCCAAGGCACGTTGGACTAGTTGGCATGTGGTAACATACTGTCAATGTAAAAGCACCAAACTCACGAAGGAGGACGACTGAGCCCCACTGGTTCGTGGCGGCGTACGTTGTCGGGCTAAATTGAATGCGGCCGGGGGCCAAGGCTCCTAGTGCAGCTGAATGCGTCTCACGTCAAGAGGAGTACTAGCCGTCGCACCTACGCAGCTGAGGGCAGCCGCCGCGAGCACCGCCCACATAACTTGGCAGCTGAAACGGTCGCACCCAAAATACATATGTTGTACATGAAGGCAATCAAGTCGAGATATTGACGAAGACCAGCCGCTATTGCCGTGTTCGGGACTAACGCGAATATCTCTCCAAGACCATCATCGACAGCTGGATAACTAGCGCTAGAGCAAGAAGCGTCATCGGCCATGACCTCGGCGAGAGGCCAAAGCCAAGAGAGCCGTTGTTGATGGCGTAGTTGCCGTTTTGCTGAACACCAATCGTAGTTTTCGTGGTGATGACAGTTGTAGGGGTCTGGCGCTGCCGGCTCTTGGCCTCCAGGATCACCGCGACGATGGCAGGACGACCCTTTGTTTCGGCAACGTAGAGAGGTGTCGCATAGTCCTATCCACAGCCATGACGAGGGTTAGGGTCATGACCAGCATACCTTTGCGACTTGAGTCACGTTGGCGCCTTCGCTGATGAGGAACTTGACAATGTCGAGGTGTCCGCTCTCAACTGCCATGAACAGTGGGGTGCGACCGAGCTACGAATGTAGTCAACAAGGAGTCGCTCACACCATGATTCTGGTGCACCTCGTCTGCGTGGTCGACATTCGCATTGCTTTTGCCGACCAGCAAATACAGAGTCGACAGATGGCCTTCCTTGGCAGCGATCCAGAGCGGGGTTTGACCGCGCTATTCAATTCATCACTCCTTCTAGTGTCGCGGCAGGACGTGTCGTACATCGTTGCATTGATCGACACTGGCGCCGGCGACCAAGAGGATCTGCACCACTGCGTCGTGGCCTCGCGACGACGCCGCATGCAACGGCGTCTCTCCGCGCTAGCACCCCATTGACATTACCGCCTATACTAGATGCAAACGAAAAGACCTTGGTCGCTTGTCGCACATTTCCCCACCGATAGAGCAGGAGGTCGCGCACGATGGCCTTGTGCCCGTGCAACGAGGCAATGTAGAGTGGCGTTCGCCCCTCCTGTCGCAACGTAGTAGGCCTCATGACGGCACAGGGAGACGTACGTTGTCTTCACCCGTCGGGCTCGCACCGTTCCACATGAGTAGATTGACGAGGTGATCCTGCCCGTGCTCGCATGCCGTGAACAGGGCGGAGGTGCCATCCTGTCGTCCATGAGTCGCCTGCCGAGGTCCGGATATGTACATTGGCGCGCTGGTCGAGGTCGGGTCGACGGCCGAGGAGGGTCCGAGCAAAGGCGATTTTTTCCACAATGGCGACGTGACCATATCGACACGCAATGTAGAGAGCGGTTCGCCCCTCCTAACCGATAGCGTCCGACCAAAGCCACGGCTGGTGACGACGTACGTTGTCGCGCTGGTCAACGCTGAGACCCTTCCTCCATAAGAGAGCGCGGAACACCTTGATGTGCCCAAACCGTGACGCGACGTGCAGCACGGTCTCGCCTCGCTGACCGATGGCAAGTCAGTGTCCTGGACCATGAACGCGACGACGTACTGTGGAGCACTTGTGGATGTCAGCACCGTAGCTGATGAGGCTGTTGACCATACTCTCGTGCCCCCTTTGACACGCAATGTACAGAGGTGTGTGGCCCTCCTGCCCAGCGCGTGAGCGCGAAAATTGAAGTCGTGTCTACCTCGTTTTGCCAGTTGGGATCCGCACCCTCGCCAACGAGGCGGCGGACGTCGGTCCAGTTGCCTCTGCTAGCAGTCTCGTATAATTCCTTTCCCAACAAAGGCGGTCCTTGGGTGTTCTACACCAAATGATTAGCATCATCGCACCTCTCATCGCCTACGCCCATGTCGGTCTGGCCTCAAGTGACAGCCATCGGCAAATATCCGGGAATCGCTGTCATCCGGTTAACCAGCCGGTGGCGCCGACATCGGAGGCGATCCGGCCACCGAGCTCCGACCCGTCTTCCAACAAGACACGAACACGAACGGTCGTTGACTGACGGTGACGGCTCGTGGCTGGTAAGGCCAGAGTGTCCTTGTCACCAGGCTAGCAGCCCTTTGAAGCTAGCAGGTTGGTTGTTCGATTGTCAACAGTTGAACAGGGCAAGAAGTGGAGACCCGCTACCCAGCAATACTGCAGGGAATCGCACCGTCTTGAGTCCCAGCAAAATTCGTAAAATGCAAGCGCATGTGGAGAAGGAGCGCGTCGCCACGAGCGCTTTGCTCTGTTGTGAGCAAGGTGTTGTGAGGTTGTACGTTCATTGTACGCTGTACGTACGCTCCATGTACTGTGAACGTACGAGCCGTACACGATCGTCAGGCCAGGTGGCCATTGACACCGCAACCAGAGTGGGATCGCGCCGGGATGATAGCCGCAAGCGCCCTGGAACCAGATGGCCCACAAGCGCTTTGACGACGACGAACGAATGAGCAGCCTCAACCTCCTCGCGCGGCGCGGCAACGTGCTCGAGATCCAGCGCCGGCTCGCGCAGGGCGCGCTGGTCGACGCCACGGACGAGGTCGTCCCTCGCAACCTACATGCAGCCTCTCATATGCTTGTAGACGGGCGACACGCCGCTGGTGCAGGCGGCGGCCAACGGCCACGATAGCGTCGTCTGCGTCCTCCTCGACCACCAAGCGTCCACCGAGGGTGTCCGCGACGTACGTCGCCGTCTTCCTCTTGTCGTTCATGGCGCATACGTACGTAGGATCGCCTCTCGGCGCTGCTGCGCGCGACGCAAAAAGGCTCGGCGACGACCGTCGCGCTTCTTGCGAGCCACCACGCCAACCTCGAAGCCCTCTTCCCCGTACGCTACGAAAATGGCCAGCAGCTTGAGTAGCGATTGACCGTAGGACGGCAAGACCGCGCTGGTGTACGCGGCGCAGCACGGCCAGTCGCAGCTCGTCGAGACGCTGCTTGAGCACCACGCCAACACGGAGGCCACGGACGAGGTATGCTGGTTTGGGTGCTTTTAGCTTGAGATGCGTGGAATTAGACGGGCAACACAGCGCTGCACTACGCGACCGAGAATGGCAACACGCGCATCGTGACGCTCCTCCTCCAGGCCAACGCGCGCTCGACCGTCTACAACTACGTACTGTAGATTCGATGTCAAACAGAGTTTGAAACAGCGCGTGTAGGCGCGCAACACGCCTCTGCTGGCCGCCTGCATCAACAGCCACGTCGAGGTGCTCCGCGTGCTTTTGCAGTACGACACGGACCTCGAGGCGTACAACGACGACGGCTGGTCCGCGCTCATGTACGCGTCCGCCATGGGCCACTACGAGTGCGTCAAGCTCCTCCTCGGGAAGGGTGCGCGCGTCCAGGCAGTCTCCTCGGTCCGACAGACGATTTTTCCAGTGGATTTGACATCCAGTGGATCTAGAACGGCTCGACGGCGCTGCTGGTTGCGACGCGCAAGGGATACCACGATGTTGTGCTGCTTTTGCTGCAGCACAAGGCGCCCGTCGACGCCAAGTTCAACACGGTTCGTTCCTCGAATTTTCTGCGAATCCTAGCAACGGCGTAGGGCGGGCTGACGTCGCTTATGGTGGCCGCGACGCAAGGCTACTTGAGTATTTTGCAGCTTTTGCTGCAGTTCCAAGCCAACTTTTTGCTGCGGAACCACGTACCCCTCGAAGTCTACAATATCAATGTATCGAGCGTCGATTCTAGGACAACAAGACGGCACTCGACCTCGCGACCGAGAAGAACCACATGAGCTGCCGGTCGCTCCTCGACATGCGCGAGCGCCACCCGCTGCTGTACTTTGCCAAAGTCGGCCAGCTCAAGCCCCTCCAGCAGCTCGTGCGCCAGCACGTGGACATCGACGACCACGACGAGGTACACTCGCTGCAACAATTCGCCTATACGAGTACATGGTGACTAGCTCGGGAAAACCGCGCTCATGTACGCTGCGAGCGCCAACCAAGTGGACGTAGTCGAGTATCTCTTGAGCCTTCAAGTGGCGGTCGACGCCTGCGACAACGTACCGCCATCATTGCTCTTCTGTACTGAATAGGAGAATTGTAGAACGGCGTCGACGCGCTCGCCATGGCGGTGGGCGACTGCCGGCACCTGCTCGAGCGCGAAATGCTCTACCGCGTCGTCAAGTCGGGCGACCTGACGACGTTTCGAGACATCCTCGCGCAGAACCCGACCATGGACATTGAGCAGCGCAATCCGGTACGATGCTGTATGTATCAACTTGATACAAATGGAGATTTATAGAGCGGAACGACGCTGCTGATGCTCGCGGCGCAGTACGGCCATGCCGACATGACCAAGCTGCTCCTCGACCGCAACGCCAACCTCAACGCGGAAGAGACGGTGCTGCGTCGTCGCGTGTTCTTTTGTGCGAATTCCTGCGTAGGACGGGTCCACGGCGCTCTTTTACGCGACCGACAACAACCACAAGGTCTGCCGCGCGCTCTTGGAGAAGGAGATGGCGTTCCGCGAGCGCTACCCGCTTCTCTACCACGCTCGTTGCGGTAGCACCTCCCATAGTGGAATGCTATGAGACAATATTGTCTACCCAGGTGACGTGGCCAAGGCGGCGCTGGTCCTCGACGCGGACGCCGACCCCGACGAGCGCGACGAGGTGCTATGCAACTATAGAAAAAGGGCTATAACAATATACGTAGGACGGCTGGTCGGCGCTCATGTATGCGGCGTCGCTGGGCCACACGGCCATGATCCAGCTGCTTCTCGAGCGCAACGCGCAGATCGGCGGCACGGATAAAGGCGGCAAGACGGCGTTCATGGTCGCCAAGGACAAGGCCGTGTTCGTCAAGCTCATTTTGGAGAAGAACGCGACCGAGCTGCGCTTCAACGAACTCATGTTCAAAGGTTGCACCATCCCAAGTACTGACTGTGCGAATTGAAGATGAATCTAGGCGCGATCGAGTGCGACCCCAAGCTCGGCAAGGAGATCCTCAACGCCTTTGTGGTCGAGAGCGGTCGCTACAGTCTCGAGTTTCGCGACGTACGTGGCGCGTCCTCGTGCGAATTTCCTTATCAAGTACCTTAGCTGGATCGCATTTACGGGCGGGAGACGATCCAGCAGAGCGCGCTCTACTCGATTCTCAACCTCGAGGGCGACGACGAGGCCGAACAGGGCGTCAAGCAACACTGCCTCCAGCATGTCGTCATGCGCCGCGTGCTCCAGCTCAAGTGGGAGGTACTTTGTCCGCATTTTGTACTATGTAAGACAATTTTCTCTAGTTCTTCGCCCAGCGCATGTACATTGAGCAGTTCCTCATGTACATTCTGCTGCTGGCGTCGTCAGTCCTCTCGGGCTGCCTCTACCAGCTCGACGACGCAGCCGAAGTGACGCCGCCGCCCGTCTTCAAGGACATTTCCAACGTCATTTGGCAGCGCAACAAGACGGCCACCAACGGCACGCGGTCGCTCATCGCCGTCATCTCGTTCCCGACTTCGAGTAACGTCACGTCGGCCGCGCAGACGACGACGACCAACGCGACCTTTGACACGGACACGTTCCGCTTTGGCATCATGGTAAACTTGTCTCTATCTTCATGGAAATTGCTCAACATTTACAAAAATCACAAAATTAGCTCTGGAGCATCCTCTGCGTGTGGGTCGTCGTCTCGTACGTGATTGCGCACTACGGCCTCAAGCCCAAGCGGCTCTGGAGCCTCGCGCGCTGGTCCCGCGACGGCACGTACGGCGGCTTCTTTGCCTTTTTGCTGCGGGTGCGTTCT